CCCACACCACCCCCTCCACCTCCTCCTCCGCCACACACACACTCCCTGACCTCAAACAGGCTCCCCCTTCCACCCTCCCCAGCCTTTAACAGTGCTCTTGGCAGTACTGACGTGCCCCCTCCGCTGCCCCCCAAGTCTCCCCACTTGCTGTCACAGTTCCATAAGCCAAGCAGCATTCAGTCCCTGCCGCTTCCTCCCACCCCCGGCCTCCCTCAGCCTGCAGCAGTGGCCGAGATGAGGAAGAAGAGACCGGGCCGAGGCGCAGGTGAGAGCTGCAGGCTGGAAGAAGGAAGGCTTTTTTCTCCCTCTGGCTAGCAGAGGAAATTGCACTGGTGGCTGGAGAGCTTGGAGGGGTGGGGATGAAGAGCAGACAGAGCTGGAGGGCGAGGTCCATCGCACGGGAGGAATACCTGTAGGTTGCACGGCGTGCAATGAGCACACGACATGTCAGGCTCTTAGCTTTGGGCATGCATGCCGTATAGTTTAATCAGGGATTCTTGGAAGCAGTATGCTCATCGGTGAAAGCAGTGTTTTAGGACCACTGGGCTGCTGCTTGCTTTTGTGTTGGCATTGGTGTGTCTCCAGCAGTGCAATGGCTGAGCTGAGGAACAGTCTCAGGTAGGGCAGTAGAGTATCCACCACAGCATCTGCCAGATCTGCAGCTGCTCAAGTGCCGGCCTACCCGTGACATCCCTCTACTGCTGTACCCGTGCAGTCTGGAGCAATATTGGCAATGAGAGGGAAGCGTTACAGAAGAGAATAAAACAAAGATGGGGCAGCTACAGCCATAGATGAGCAAAGGCTAATATGGATGTAGCCTTCTGGTTTCTAACAAAGAGGAGCAGCCAGTGCCTCACGTGATCAAGGTGGTAGGTAGGGCCAAAGGTTTCTCTGACCACTTGGGAAGTGGGGATATTAGCTAGTGCTTCCTTGAGCAGATGGTAGAAGGAACTTTTATCAGCCTTCTCTGATATAATGAACATAATAAAAAAACAAGCCTAGCTCTGTGTGGGTTTGAGAAATGGAGACAGCCTCTTAATAAGGAACATCTGAAGAGACGGTTCTGTACCCTGTATTTTAGCAGCCACATGTTCAGAGAAAGATTACTGGTTCCCTTTGACAGCCATGGGAAAGGCCGTGTAAGTACAGCAGATCAGGTGCTTTGTGATGGTGATTAATGCTGCTCAGGAACTGTCTGATGAACTGTTATTTTATTGAGATGCCCGTTTCTTATGGTGGTTCAACTTTTGAGGTTTCCATAAAATGAGCCTGCCTTTCTCTCGGTTATCTTGGGGCAGAAGCAGTTTTGAGAGGCTGCTAACTTGGCGGCCTTGGGCTCCCTTCCCCTGACACGGTTCCTGCAGTAGGTCTGCCCAGAAGATGTAAACTTTGATGGCTCTTGCAACTCCTCAGTGAAATGCACAAGAATAATGGTAATTCCACTGCATAGCTGCCAAAGTGTCAAGACATTATTTTCTTTTAGATATACCATCTAGTGTGGTTGGATTTTTTTTTTTTTTAAGAAACTGCTTGTTCTTGTGAAAGTGGAAGGATAGTCTTCCTGTCCAGACTGGGACAAAACCATACTTCAGAGCGTCAGGCGTTCCCTAGAACTAGAAACGGCAAGCCCTAGCCAACTCCAGTAGTGACTTAATCTATATAATTTGACTATAAATCCATAGTCAGGCTTGACAAACAGCCACTACGAAGCTGGGCAAGTTTGCCCCAAATACTGCATTCCTTCTGCTCTTCCTCTTTTGTGCAAAGCTTACTGTCGGGTTTGTTAAGTCATGATGATGTTTATGTGCTGCTCTGCTGCTTCTTTTTAAGGAACTGGTGCTGGGAAGCTAGTCACACCTCCACAGCCACCAGCGAGATCACCAACAACTGAACTTACAAGCAAGTCTGGAGTCTCAGCCTGGACTACAGCTTACGAGCCCTACCTACCACTGAAAAATGGAAACATGCACATCATTGGTAATATCATCTAAATTAGTTAATAATTTTAGGACAAAAGCCTGTGTGTGTCTCAGAGTTCAAAAACCCATTCAAGACTTCCTCATGGCAATAACAGGGTAGTGTAACTAGACCTGTTAGAAACATTTTTGTACAGCCTTATACAAGGTGAGAAAATTAAGGCTTTTTCACAAAGGTTTTGAATCATCCAGTACACAAGAAAAGCATGCACTACCTGCAAAATTATTTAAGATTGTGAAAAGTTGCTGTAGTGTCCTTATATTACCATTCTAAAACCAGTTCATGGACATTTAGTAGCTTCAATCCTATAGAGCAAAGACTGCTAAGAATTCTTTTTGTGGTCTAATGAATTGGCCATTCATTCTTGCTTACAACTAAATGGCTTGAAAGCCACCTAGGAATACCTCTATTACCACAATATCATCAATGCAGGAAACTGGAACGGCAGTCAGAAGCTTAACTTCAGTTAGTAGCAGGCAGTGTTTGCAATTAAGCCAGAAAACTTGGATGGCTCACAGAAGTACTTATCAAGATTGCGTATATGGAATAAGCCACTATCAATTCTGGGGAAAGCAAGTCAGCATTTTTAACTGAAATTACTTGTGGCAATTTTTACTATTTGTTCTTTTTAAGTATCTCTCTAACAGTGACTAATGTTTACTTCCCGAAACTTCCCAGATGACTTTGAATCTAAATTTACTTTCCATTCTGTGGAAGATTTCCCCCCACCTGATGAATTCAAGCCATTTCAGAAAATATATCCCAGCAAGATAGCTCGAGGTAAGTGCATAAACGTGAGAAGATCTGGTAATTATCCAATAGAATTAAAAACAGGGAGTGAAAATAAAGAACACAAACCAGCATTAACGTGAAGAACATAGGCACAGAGAGGAATGGGATTTGGTACAGTGGTAACAGGGACCAAAGATATAATGAAAAGCACTTAATTACTTACTTTAAAGTCTTAGTTGCTAAAAATAAAATGATGTGACTTGACATTCAGCCTGTGTTCTTTAGATTGTTGAATTTGCAGAGCCCTGGATGTTAAAAATAGTGATGTCACATAAACAGACTTAGGCAGCTATCGAGTTGGTTTTTTTGTTCATGAACTTGTGAAATCACAAAAGAAAGGTGACTTGATCTATGTCTTCCATCATGTGTTTTGACTTAAATCCTATGCATGCAGGTTTTACACATCTGAATAACAAAAAGGGACTTAGTACCTGAACCTTGTCAAGAAAGTAATGACTGACTGAACCTTGCATTTTTTTTTATTTTTTTTTTGCTTGCACCCTGTTAACTTAGAAACTTGGGATCAGGTCACTGTTGTAAGAGCAGAAGTTCATGTATCCACCTTCAAAAACTGGTAGTTGACGGTGCCGAAAGATCCCATGCCCATATTCTGCTTTTTATACAACACAGTCTTTTCTGTATTATTAGATCAACTATTTATCTCCAACTTTTCATTAAGTGTTTTTTGTGGGGGTTTTTTTTGTTTCCATGCCAAGGTACTTTGCATGACTTTTCTCACCAGCCTCAGTCTAAATCATCTGCTGTATGATCTGATCAGAGACTTTTTACTGAAGGGCTACAGAGAATGAGCAATGTATATGTGTATGTATATATGTCAGTTCAAGAGCAGGAGAGAAATGCAGCATCCCTGCTTTAGAACTGCATCCAGAATACATATCCAAAAAATGTCTCTCTCTACTCTGATTAAAGCTGTCCTATCTATTTACAGATCCCTCCAAAAATCCTCCATTAAGAACACACGTGAGATGAGAAGAGTCTTCTGATGCTCTCTGGATTAGTATTAATAAAGAACAACATCAAGAAAATACATAAAACAGAAGGGGTCCCCACAACGGTGACAGAGATTATATGTGAATTGCAAGTGCTGCAATGTTAAAATTTCTATAAACGGGAAAAGCAATGTAAATGATGCTTTTTGAACTGGCCTATGTACTACACAAATGTTAGTACAGGCTTTTAAATTATTGTATACAGGTGGATATTTTTTAAGGAAAGCAGCATAAAATTTAAATTCTTTGTAGTGTTGAAACAAGTCTCATCCTTATCATGCTGACAGATGTTACCTCAGAATACTTTTTGCATTACATGCCTGTAGCTCCATTTTTCCCCTTCCATCATAATTTTTTTACGTATTTTGGAAATTCTCCAGTTATTATTCAGACATTTTTCAATGAACTATCAGAAACTAATGTGCTACCTTTCATCTCTTCGAATGTTTCTTCACTTCTATTCTGCTTATCCTCAGATTGCAGCAGAATGTCACTTCCATGGACAGATGGCCCCACAGTCCTTTTCTCATCAAGCACGAAGAGAAAAGAGGTGACAAGAAGGAGCTGTGGCTGCTGTTGAGCCTACCTCCTCTTGATTACAGATCCTTATAGGATAGTGTCTGAGGAAGCCCAGCTGGATAGGGTGGTCATGGACTTGGCAAAGACAACAGAACTTTTCCAAGCTGGAGGAAAAGAAAGTTGTTCTACTGTAAGGAAAAAAAAAAGAAAAAAAAAAAAGGTTGTGTGCAAATACACAAGCCATGAAGTATGTATGTAAGGGCACGTGTCCTTATGTCTTTAGCAGGAACACCCTCTTCTTTCATCTCGCCTCCTTCCCAACTCTAAAAGGTTGGAGTTGAGGTTGTTTAGCCTGGAGGAGGCTGAGGGGATACCTGATCGCTCTCTACAACGAACTGAAAGGAGGGTGTAGCAAGGGGGGGGTCGGTCTCTTTTCCTCAGTAACAAGCGACAGGACAAGAGGAAATGGCCTCAAGTTGTGCCAGGGGAGGTTTAGATTGGATATTAGGAAGAATTTCTTCACCAAAAGGGTTGTCAAGCACTAGAACAGGCTCCCCAAGGAAGTGGTGTAGTCACCATTCCTGGAGGCATTTAAAAGATGTGTACGTGTGGTGCTTAGGGACTTGGTTTAGTGGTGGACTTGGCAGTGTTAGGTTTACAGTTGGACTCAATGATCTCAAAGGTCTTTTCTAACCTAAATGATTCTATGATTCACCAGCTTGAAAAAGGACACTGCTGTTCCAGTCTGATGCTAACAGCCAGGTTATTTCAGTTATGGCATTAATTTATATAGTAGCCATAAATTCCCCTCAGCTGCAGCTGTACTAACATTATAGATCACAGGTGTGATCCTTCCCCACGGCCATGCCTTTGAACAAAACTGTTTGGAAAAGACAGGTAACTGCATCTTTACAGACCTCTGCTTTTCCCTTAGTTCTTGCAACAGCTCAGCTGTGCCATAACTCCCACTCTGACATACGTGCATGCTCGTGGTGTGGAGATGGTGTAAGGGTAAGAAGCTCTTCAGCTGCAGGACTCTAAGAAAGCATCATTAGTCTTTTTCTAGCCTATTATGATACCTTCCTGTACATCACATGAAAAGAAAAAAAAATTAGTGATGCTTTGACCAATATTTACTGTCATTATTATAGTTACTTGATAAATATGCATGAATATAGTAATAAGCAGGGGTCAGCATATACATTGCTTCTCGAACAACTGGAAAAGTTTAACACTGTTTTTGAATAATATTTTGTTATAGTACTATTAAAGGCAACTTATTGTTGGTTCTCATTTGTTCTGAACTTGTGTACTGCTCTGCAGTAAGTACCTTCATAAGGATTTTAAAACTACTTAATGCTAGACTGCCTGCCAGAAGATATCTAAAGGACAAAAAAATTTTACTGTTTTTATTATGATTAGCGGTATTTTAGAAGCAAACAACATCTTTCAGGGATTAAATTAGAAAGCCTGTGTATATTTGCAAGTGTTGGTGAAATGTTAGTTCCATATATACTGGATCGTGGTGCAAGATCCATTGAAGTTTCTGTTCCCTGGAGAGACAACACCAGAACACTGTGAATCCTAGTGGCATTCAGTCCCACCACATCCTCCCACTGAGCCACAGCTGCACTCAAGACCACCAGAAGCTTTAAAGCCACAGGGGTACTCTGGTTTCTCAAACTTGTAGGACTAGTGACTGCACTCAAGCATGTTGCTGTAGCACAGGTTTGTTGTTTGGGTTTTTTTTAAATGCACTACACAGCTGAAGCAAAAGCAACATACTATTAGAAAATTACTACCTGGATCACTGTGCTCAAAACAATTTATTAGTTCTGTCATATAAGCAGTTCCAAAATAAGGACATAAATTCCCACAAGATAACTGCAATTGTTGCTTTCTTCTTTCTTAAGAAACAGGCAAATAAGGTATGTTTTTAGCAGGAACACCCTCTTCTTTCACCTTGCCTCCCTCCCAACTCTCAAAGGTTAGAGATCCGAGTTGTGCAAGAGAGCTGTGTGAAGTGGTATATCCTAGTTTTGGCACTCCTCTGGATGGGGCAATTGTTTTATCCCTGTTCTCCCCTTGTTTACAAATACCCACCTACTCCAATCAGGATGCAAAGTGCTCAGCAAGTAACAGCTTACAGAAGCAGCTCTGAAGTTCAGCATGGTATGTGTTAAGTGTACTTTGATGAGGAATATTTTCACTCAAAGTACCCCTTTATTCCGAAAGCGGATTTCAGGGGAAATCCATTTACTTAGTTGTGGGGCAGCTGGCAAAAGCATGCTGCTCTTTCAGCTGGCTTCATCCAGCACAATACCCTCTGAAATGAAGGGTGCTCCCAGCAGTTCCTGTTCTGGCCAGGTAGACAGAAGCTAAGTTTTAGGGTTTACTGGACTATTTTCTTCCCTTGTCTCCCTTTCCAGAATACCTAGGTACAGGTATTGTACCTAGGTTACCTCTATTACAGCTGTTCCTGTAATAGAGGGCATGGGAGGAGAGTATCGTGAATGGGAAGATTATTAGGTAGGCCACAAGAGAAAATATCTTCGTGTTTGTTTTCTGTAAGTGAAAAGGCCCAATGTTTTCTTGTCCAACTGCCAGTTGTCATAGAAGGCAGTATCAAAGTAATGAGTCTGAATGGAACAATTTCATTGAAAAAATTGTGAGAATGCAGTGTGCCAATATGGCCATGAGTATTTCCCTAATGCACAACTCTTTTATATTTTTCAAGTTGAGGTGTTGCTGCCTTCTAAGGAGCTTTTATTTCCTCAATACAAAAGTCTGTGGTTCTTCACCATCCCCTTACCTGAAGAGTGAAGGGTTTTAATGCCACATGCTAACTTCCACTTATTAAAGACACAGACTTCTTGTCTGAGCCTCCTGTTAAAAAAAACCCCAGCCATCTTCACATGACACAAGAATTAAACCAGTAAACACGGCTTCCTAAGTGTTTGCCGTATCTTTTCCTGGGAGAAAATACATGAAAAGCAGGTCTGTCTGCAGGACTGCCAAGGAAGGGAAGCATGCTGCACAACTCCATTTCATCTAAGGAGGCGTAAGACAGCCATTTTGAAGCCTAACCAGTTGGACTGCCACACCCACCAGTAACTCACCAGTACTTAATGGATTCATCAGCCATGTATGCTCACCACAGAGATTACTAGGAACTGGTCAGCAGTACAAAGGCAGAAAGACGGAGAATAGTCACGTATTGATCAACATCCAACGTCTATTCCCTCAAAAAAATTCCAAATTCATAGCTTGTATATAAATACACCACCTTATTAACTGCATCTTCAGAGCCCACAGGTTCTGTATAGATGTCTTAGTCATTCAGGCTGGCTCTGCATTTTAGTACTCAGTCCTAGAGCGGCAGCCAGGTGCATTACAAACACAATCTTCCCTAAGCTGGGTACAGGTGACGGCAAAACTTGACCTGGGGGACCCAATTCTGGTAACTGGTACAGACATAATGTCAGATGCTGAGTTACTGTAACCAGCTACGCCCATATGAGGCCAGTACAGCAAGGCCAAGGACCAGGACTTACCTTCCTGCCCCCTCAGAACTGGGATTTCAACTCTACCATTCTTTGTATGAATTAGCAAGAAGAGAAAAATGCAAGTCAGCTTTGCTGCAAGCCTAGTCCTGAGCAATAGAGGAAAAACCAGGTTGCTTTCAATGACGATATGGCAGTTAGCCTGATGAAGTTAATCTTTGCTTTAATTGGTTGCCCAACATACATATTTAAACATTCTGCACTAAATTAGCCAGCATGCACACAGTAATTGGACCAGTCAGTGACTTTCTCCTTTCACTATATACATACACAAACAGGAACACCACAAGATGGGACAAAGGAAAGCAATTTGTTAACCGGATACAGCTAGCAAGTAACATTTTTTCCTCTAGAAATGTTTTTTTCCTGCACATTCACAAGTGTGAAGACTTTCTTTCAAGGCTTGAAGAACTCTGCAGTCTTCCAGTGAAAAGGCTAGCAATAGCCACCGTAGCTGAAATGAGATAAAATTTGTTTAAAATCCATTCCAAGCAAGAGTGAAATTAAAAAAAAAAAAAAAAAAAATTGCCTGCAATGTAGCATAGGGAAAAGGGACTTTGGAGACAATCCACTGAGGTAGAAAGGTGGCTCTGGAGCCGATTCTGAACACCCTTAGCTTAGTGTAAAAGAGAAGGAGGCAGAGGATCAGAATCGGATCCAACATTTCACCTTCACCGACACCTGGTACCAGAAACTCAGTATCTAAAGAACTGACATGTTTGCTTACTTTATTTGAAGAACTTTAGTTCTGTGTCAACACAGTCATAGAAAAGATCCAC